GAATTTTAATTTTATGTTCGCAAATGAGAAGATACGGATAGGGGCTTAAGTTTTCTGATGATCTACTTCTTTTGCTTTCTTCGTTTTATTATTTAAACTTATTAAAAATATTTATTACTATTAATGTTATGACGTCATGTATATTGTAATTACATAATAATTTTTACTGGTTTTTTATTCAATTTCTTTATCGTCATCAGTAATTCAAAAAAAAAATATAGAATCGAACCATGAGTAAGTATTAACTGAGCAATTGTCTTATGAAGCTAATTTCGTTAGAGATTCTAGATCCAATAAAACAGCGTCATAAACGGCTATAAAATGGCGATTAACGATATAAAACGTCGATAAACGGCGCCGTAATCAGTCAGACCAGATTACGGAAGTAAGACTGGGAAAATATGAAGTCGTTGTCTAGCAATAGAAACGGCTTATAATACGGTTTGACGGACTACGGCGAAATAAGGCTAAAATTAATGCAGCAATTCGTCGTTTTATAGTCGTTTCAAGCCGGATAAGATGCCGTTTCCGACGGCCGGAATGATCCTCCTAGGATGGGATCAGTACCAGTGCAGATTTCATAACAGTTGGTCTCATCTACTCAATCTTCTACTAGCACAGGTCGTCAAATATCTAGACTGGTTCAAGCTCTGACAAATAGAATTCCTCATTAGCTTTGAAAAGAACTATAGTTTCGACTCTATGTTAATTCTTCAAAAGCTACATGTATGAGAGTGTGACAACCTCTCAAAAGACAAAAATATCAACTGCAAGCAGTCTTTAAAAAGAACACAGTATTAATACTACGTTAGGCATAAGAAGTTAGCAGTACGGTACTGAAGGCTTTCGAAATGTTACAGGTATCACGATCGGGATACGCTCAAATAGTTACGTATACTATCCACAAAAGTGATCGATAGCCTTATCTTAAGTGAGAGAGTCACTTGTGTGACTGCTACATTGGAAATATGAAGCGAGAGTATGAGAATATAAGTTTCATTAAAAATGTTATAACCATCCTCACCTACATCTTATTCACGTTTACAATGCCACTCTGGTCGTCATCGCAGCCCAACATCTGCAATCAATCTCTACTGGTACTAAATTTACCTGTTATGTATGCGATCAAATTGCGATTTCAAACAAATATTGGGCAGAAAGAATATTTATATTGAAAGAAAGAATATAGAAAAAGTTGTGTTATTCATTTTCAAATACGAACCTGGTTGATATGTGTATACGTCGTCGTTAAAAACAAAAATGAATCGAACGTAGTTTTTTTCTGTGCAGAACAAGAGATGTTTTCATTCATAGCTTTTTCACTTCTGTATAATTAAGATCTCAATTGTCATAAGAATAGAAAAAAATGAAAAAAAATTCTCTCTCTTCAAACGATAAACAATTGTAGTTTCTTTAAGAAAAAAAAAAGACATATTCGTCATCTAAATCATCTGTTTTCTCTATATTGCATCATTCAGAAGAAGATTCATCATAAGACCGATCGAACCCATCTAGATTACATGAATGAGATTGTGAGTGCCACTAAGATTGTTGCCATCATTCTCATCGACACTCGAGTTATGTCGATAATATTACTGTAGTTGCCATCACATCCTAACATCCTCAGTCAACTTATATCGAATATAAATTTCTGTCATCAGCTTGATCAAATTACAATTTGGACAAATATTTGAAACAGCGAATATAAATGTTGAAAGAAAGAATACTGAATAAAGAAACAAAAAGATTTGTTCTCCTATTTCAAATACACGCCTAGCTGATATCTGTACATGACGTCGTTAAAAACAAAAATGAATCAAACGTTTTTTTTTGTACAGAAGAAACTTTTTTTCATACTTTTTTCTCTTCTGTACGATTAAGATCTAAGTTGTTTTAAGAATAGAGAAGAATGAAAAAAGAATCCATCTCTTTGAACAATATTCAATGGTAATTTCTTTAAGAAAAAAGACATATACGCTATCTAAACCATCTGTTTTCTTCGTACTATATCATTCAGAACAAAGTTCATCATGAGACCAACCACATTCATTTACATCCCTGGGTAAAAGTCTTTCCCCATTCCTCATTTTTTTCGTGTCAAACTCATAGATCTCCAGTGAATGTTGGTTACAAGAATGACTTAAATACTATTTTACTGTAACTTATGATTGATTACGACCTACTTTCATGAAGAATGTACGTCATTAAATACTATTGGTCAACACTACAAATGAGTTAATTAATAGAATACTTCATGGCTGACTTATCTCTTTTTTTTAAATATTTTATGAATGTTTTACTAGTTTTATTTTATCTATATTTGTAGTGATTAACAATACTGCATTGTCAAGAGAGCTTCGAGTCGACAACGAAAAGAGTTCAATGATTTAAACCAGTAAAACAGTTAGCAGATACAAAAAAAGAAGAGATAACCTAGTCGTAAAACATTTTGTCAACCAACTCATTTGTAGTGTTGCTCAATTATATTGGAAGACGTATATTCTTCATTGAAACAAAATGACATCTATTCTACACTACAATAAAGTACTTAAGCCATCCTTGTAACTAAATTTCACCTGAGACGAAAGAAATTCTATACGAAAAACAAACAATGGGAGAGAGAAGACTTTTGCCCAGGGATGTATATTGCATGAGCGAGATTGTGGCTGTGAGATACCAGTAAATAGAAGACTAACTCTCATGTCACAATCACATCACAATTTTGTCTATAGAAGTCGATAATGAGAAATACACCTGCTATTGATCGGTTTAATGGAATGATTTTTCCCTAAGAGACAGTACACCAGAAGCAGTAGCAGCTTCAGAGTAAGAATCGATTGAAATTCTTGACTTAGATGGTAAAAAATCAGCGAAAAATCGATCAGTTGTATTACAAAATCCAACAGCCAAAAGATTCAACCGGTTTGATATATAAATTAACTAACTAGTTCTTTCAAAAACAGTTTATTATACAAATCCACAAAGACATACAATGTGAAACTCATATAATTCTTGAAGTTTCTAATATTAATAACTTTCATTATAGTTTGTAGTGTTCTATATACACTAATAATAAGAAAGAAGAAAGAACTCTTTCGAAACTTTTCATCTAATGACTCACAACAAGTAATACTGAACAACGTCTAAGCTTTGTTTTGCCTGACTTTATTCAATAAAAATATGATTTCTTTACCAGAATTAATGAATTTGATGTTTTCGTTTTTTTGAAATCTTTATTTAACACATTTGCAAAGGTTCTCAATTTTTATAATTCTTACTTTGATGGATGTTAGATACAGTGAATTGTCTTTGATAAGTTCTATGCTCGTAAAACTTTACAGAGTCTCTATCGAAAGCTATTCATGCGGTAAATATGAAAAGACACCTATTCACTACAGGACTATCTTAGAATAGGTGGTCACCAATATAAAACATTGACTTTCAATATTCATCAACCTTGCAGTATCAAATGAGAAATAAATCATTTTTTCAGAAGCTTGTTTTTGTTATGGGCGCAGCAAGTTGTTGATTATCTAAAATGAAATTTTGCACTTACACACATCAAAAGCATAGTGCCTATTTTTTAAAAATTCGACTTCCCACTTAATACTTTCTGCGTAGCAAAGTAGAGTTTGATAATGAAACAGATTGTATTTAGAATCAATGCCGAAGGTATTCGGTCTTCTCATCTAATCAATACTCAAAGTTCGTCTGAAGACAATTTCTAATGCTAAATTTGTCTTTAACTACTGATTCTACGCTTAAGTCTTAATTTAATCATGTGGATACAAAAGATCATACCATGAAGTCTATCTTCAAAAATATCCTGTTCTTTTTCCAAATTTTGACACTATTAGACAACGCAACATACTGTAAGAGAAAATTAATTGGATAAAAGTATATTTTGAGTAAATGGGGCTGTGTTTGATGTTTTCTGTCTAGGAAATGTTTTGATATGTTCATTTTTCACTAAAACTGAGATTATAAATAAATTATTTTTCGATACAATTCTATTTCAAAAAGTAAGACAAATGTATTCCATTCTAATAAACATTAGCCATTCATATTAATTGACTAAATCTTATCAGAAACGCAACTGTAATTTTTGTTTTCAGCCGAACATCTATCATATCCGACCATATGTTTATAACTATACATAATTTTCCAATTTTATTCTCACTAAATTATTGTTATTCAGTGTAATTTTGAATGTAAAATTGACACATCAACAAAGAATTAAGTTTAAACAATAAGATAGTGGATACTGAATCAACGATTATTGTTACCCAGACAGATACTCCCGCGACATATTCGTTCCTACAACTCTTTATTATAGCTACGAGCAATCAAAGTTCAATTAAAAAAGTAGCGAAAGTAGATGTAGACCTCGTCTTTACTCTAATTGTCAATTCCCTCACAATTGCGAAAATAGATATCATGGAAACATTCGTCTTGAATGCAACAGCTACATTACCGATAGTACTTTGTGCATTGTAAAGTTACATTAAAACTGCTCTGGCTAAAGTAAGAAGTTTTTGATGATTTCTATCAACATACTATGCATTTTATCTAGTATGAAGAGAAAACAGCTCTAATTGAATATAAAATGTGTACGTATGAGCACAGTTTTTCACAGTATGCAAGTGTTTAAAATAGATCACTGTACCTTAAAATGGAATGCATACAGCAGCTCTTGTTATGATAAAAAGAATTTATTTATGTCCTTTTATATATTTACTTATACCGTTCTATTCACTATTCGCAAAGTGTTGTCAGTAAGCATGTTTACTTATTTTCGAAAACAATTACTTTTATAAAAAAACAAACAAACAAGTATTTCTTATCTTGACGTCATATAGACAATTGTTTCCAATCTTGTGTATCTTAATGTATTTATTTTTATTTCACATTATCTTTATTCATATATAGTATATTAAATTGTCGTTAATACAACTTCCAATGAAAATTTAAATAAAAAAAAACTAAAAAAGTAAGTTTATTTATTGAGGACGAATAATTTTTAATCGTTCATGTAAAATATCATGTAAACCAAGAAATTCACATTTTTCACATAAATTAATTTTACATGTCATGCATTGATAACGTACACCGACGATAGGTGATACAAAACATGATGCACATCGAATATTCAAATGAATCAGTTCGCTTATATTCTGAAGATAAATTGATGATGCATATAAACTTGAATCACGAATACATATTAATGGATGTTTTAAATCATGTTGATGATTTGTAGATGATTGACAATTTTGACAAAAATCTACATTTGGACAAAATATACATTTATATCTATCACCAACTATTGGTGACATAGAACATCCATCACATGTTATATTTATATGTTGCATATTAGATTGTATTGATTGTTTACTATTAATTAATTGATTTTGAAGACGATGACATTCATCTTTACTTTTTTGTAATTCATCTTTAAGTTTTTCTAAATTAGAATCACCAAATTCAATATGACCTATATCAATTGTTTGATTTAAATTAGTTAATCGTACTGTTTGAATTTGTTTTTCTTCATTTATTGAACCAAAATATTTATAAATATAAACTAAAACTGTTGTAACACCTGTGAGTGTATGTTGAGCATTAGTGATATATGTTAAACTAATTGAATATATTCCATTAACAGCTTTACGAAGTAAATATTCAATTGGTTGATCAGATCGAAAACCTAGATTTGTTATATATCCACCAATATCTGTTCGATATGAACTATAACCATCACATATTTGACCAGTTGGTTCTTTAATTGAAAGTTTGATTAATGTATCAGCTGTATCCCATTGAATAACAATTCGAATATCAACAGGTAAATGACGTCTCAGACGACTATCAATTTCAGGTACGTTTTTATTCATTAAAACTAAAAGTCGATTTAAATCAAGTAAAACAATTGTTTGAATTGTTGTAAATCTTGCATCCCATATTTCATTGAGAATTTGTTTGAAATATTGTAATGCTTGATCATATTGACCAAGTTCAATAAGAACAATAGCTAAATCACGTAATGATTGTGGTTCATCAGAACGTAAAGAATAAATTTTTTGAAAAACACTTAAGGCAAGATTCCATTGTTTTAATTCCATTAATTTATATGCAACAGTTCGATATAATTGTGGTGCTTCTAATTCTAATTCTAAAATATTTGTTAATATACGTAGACCATATTCAATTGATTTCTTATCTGCTATTTGAATATTTTCTTGTTGTTGATTAAATTTATCTAATATAGATGAAAATGCTGCTGGTGAAAAAAAATATGATGCAACATCAAAATAAAATGAAGGTGATTGACGATTTAATATTCGTTCATTAAGATAAATTAAATATGCACTTGTTCTATTATGTGAAGAAGATATTCGTGTTATATATGATGATTGAGGATTGTGTTCATTAAGAACAATTGTTGATGTTTCTTCTGTTTTCGACAACGATGATTCGTTTGACACATTTATTGCAGTATTTGCTTGTGTTGATGGTGTAGAAAAACTAAATCCTGTGAAAGATGATGAATTAGAACTTGATGTAGGAGCTATTCCGCCGAAAATAGGAGTTGTAGTACTACTCGGTGGAAAATACTGCGTTGTGGTTTGAGTAGTCATTGAAGTAGTCCCAAAAGGAATGGGAGCAGCGGTTGAAGCACTTCCAAAAGCAGCGGTAGGAATCGTTGGTACACCTCCAAAAGCAGATGTATGACCAGTTGTGGTAAAGCCGAAACGTGAAGGTGGTGGTGGAAAAGAACTTGGTTGTGGTACTTTTGGTAAATATGCTCGATGACGATCAATATCAGTAATAACGTGATCGTACCATTGACATGTTTGATTCCATTTTTGTATTAATTCAGATATATTATTTGGTTTTTTATTATTTTCTATTGTTTGATATTGCATATATTGATTATAAAGTAACGTACGTGATTTAGCTGGACATACATGATATTGAAGATGTTGTTGAAGTGTTTCAAGTACTAATAATGATGTAAATTGACTAACTAATGAATATTCTAATCCAAGTGATAATATGTCAGATTTATATTTATCTTTAAATGCATTTAATTCATTTAATTTTTGTTGTGCCCATAAACGACGAATTAAACCAAAAGAATTTCGTTCATTAAATGACATATCAAGTGAAATTGATAAACGTGAAATTTGATTATTCATTGAAAATTCAATTTCAAATTGAATTGAATTTGGTAATGGAATTGGAATTTGTCCCACCAAGAGAAATCGATCTAAATTTAATGGAATTGTTATTGAATTACTTGGATATATTTGTTTTACACTTGAACTTGAATGAATTTTCATATATTTAATTTGAATAGTTTCAATAATATTTATTAAATCATTTGAATTTAATTCTAATTTTTCACGATTTAAATACCCTCCACCATATTCATTATATTGAGTTAAATAACGAATAAAATCAATATCATACGGTTCATGAAGATAATTACCATTAAATATCCATATAGGTGCTTTAAAATTTGAATATAAATTTTCTATACTTGAATCATTATTTATTGTTGATATACAATCACTAAAAAGAAAATAATAATTAATTGATTGCATTAAATTAATTGATGATAATTGTGATAAATTTGTTGCACCATCATATGGTAAATCTTGAAAAATTTCTAGAAATTTATTCCAATTATTTGTTTGAAGTTGAAATAATATTTTTTCATCCATATCATTTCGAAATATAATAAGAATTATTTCAATTTGATTATAACGTTTTAACCATATATCAAAAAATTTTTTTAATGTATTTAATTCTAATATTCGATTTTCTTTTGAATTTGAACGACTTAAACTTGCGTCCCATAGAATACAAATTTTTTTTGATAGAATATCAAGTTGATCAATTCGTTGTTGATTCGGTATTGGTAAAGCACAACTAATAGCAAAATATGCACCAACATTTGAATCTTTTTCAATAGCACTTATAACTGGTTTAAGACAATTAGATAATATATATGAAAGTGTTTGTTCACTATTAACAGATGGTTCAACATTAGTTAAATGCCATTCAGCAGTATATTGTCCATTTCCATTATCAATAAATTGTGGATAATTATTTATTGATTGATTAGAAACTATTAAAAAATTTGGTTTTGTTATTGCTTGACCAAAACATGTAAGAACAACATCTAAACTTTCAAGTTGAGTTTGAAATTGAATTGGTATTTGATATAGAAAACCATTTGTATTATTATCAGCTATAGATTGATCTTGATATATAACTCGAACAGTACGTGTTTTTTGTGGTTCAATTGGATATACACGTGTACGAAATACATTACCTGTAACTAATTCAACAAAACCGGGATCAATTCTTTTTCGTACTTCTTTTTCAAATATTATACGAGCAGCTTGTTTTTCAACAACTACTCCATCGACAATAACACCATCAACATCAAGACCTAATTAAATAGACAAAAAATTATATTAACAAAATAAATAAACAAACAAACAAACAAATAATAATTTACCATAGCCACAAATAGTCGCTTTTTCTGGTAATGTAAATTCGAAAGCACCTTCAAGAATAATATTATGTGTATTTTTAAATGTCATTGTGGTAGCTATTTGATGAATAAATGGAAAATCTCCGTTAACTTTTTGTTCAATTTGTAAACGAACAAGTTTAAGAGGTGTTGATGCTCCATCAGTTAATTTATCTGCATAACGGCGACCAAATATCATAGGAAATATTGCACGAGTTGTTGTTGTTGTTGTTGCCATGATGTGTTACACACAAAATGCCTTTAAATTTGTGAAATTCTGTATGTTAATATAAATTCTATGCGATAGAACGACAAAAAAATAAAAACAATGACTCATAAAAAAAACACTATAGTAGATGGTGAAAGTATGACGCAGCAAGGTATTTTATTAATTCAAGGAAATAGGAATGATTGTTTGATTGCAAATAACGATAGATAATTGTGTAAAATAAATTAAAATCAATAATAAAATCGTCTTTGATCGATAATAAAAAATATTAATTTTCTAATAATGATTTATGTATTAATTAACATGTATTAATGGAAGGTGAAGGAAAAAAACTTTAACGATAATGTATTTTTGATGGTTTTTTTTGGAAAATCTTAAGCAATTAGCTCAAATTCAGATTACGATATTAATAGCCAATCGGATTTTACTATCTATTGCAGTCTATAGCAAGATTTCATAGATAAACTATGATAGCAAGGTTTTTAAAAAAAAACTCGGATGTGATAGTTTTCAGGTTTTCGAAGACTTTGTCGAAGCTATGTCATTTTAAAGAGAACAATATGAGAGGTCGCCACATTTTCTACGACTTTCCTTTAAACAGTTAAAACTATCACAAAAAACGAAAAAAAGGCATTTTTTAGTCGATTTTTTTGATAAAAATTTTTTTTTTTTAATGATTTTTGCAATACTTTTAATTCTTTAGAGGAAGATCAAAGAAAATGCAGCGAACCTTCATTTGGCTCATCATTTTATGTTCTTTAAAATAGCATAGGTCCGACAAAGTTTTCTAGGATCTGAAAACTACCATGTACAATTTTTTTTAGAAACCTTGCCATCATAGTTTATCTATAAAACCTTAATATACAGTCATCAACAAAAGTTTAAGCGAATTTCTTTTTTTTTCAATTTTGTTTCACATTATTAAAGGATACAGACGTGATTGAAATGGTGGTGTAGATAGTATGAGATGCTGGCTACATGATGCACTATAGTAAGAGGGAACTCTATCTATCTATCTATATAGATTTCTCATAGTGAAAATGATTTTTTCACGTAAAACATGATTTAAATGTTTTTCAGTATCTCGCATTTTCTAACCAAGCGATTTGCACTAAAACGAAAACAAAATAGACCAATCGATAGAGAATTTCAGGATCTATGTGTTTCTAAAAAAACCTTTTTTTTCACAAGGTTGATCTTCACTTCAAAAATCTGATTTTAACGAGAATAGCGAAAAACACGGGCCGCTTTTTCCATCAAAAAGTTAAAAAAAGAAAAGTTAGTCGTGTTTCTCAACATTTTTTTGTTTTGAAAATGATAGACATGAAAAGTCAGTGATATTAGAACTTCAAATACACGATTTTTTTCTATTTTGCATGCTCTTTCCGATGGCATGTAATAAATTGCGATAAGAAAGAATTTGTAAGAACCAATTGTACTTTTTCCGTTTTTTTAGACCGTGAAATTCTCTGTCGATTGGTCTATTTTGTTTTTATTTTAGTGCACACCTCTAAGTTAGGAAATATGAAATACTGAAAAGCATTGAAATCTTGTTTTGCATGGAAAAATTTATATAGACAGATAGAGTTTCCTCCTATTATAGTGCATCATGTAACCGACGTCTCATATTATCTATACCACTATTTCAATCAGGTTCGTATCCTTTAATAATGTGAAACAAAATTCGAAAACATAAATGTAAGAAAAAATTGAAAGCAAATTTGCTTAAATTTTTATCGCTGACTGTACAGTGAAAGCTTCTAATAAGAATAGATATTTCGAGGCTCTGAAAAATTTCATTTTTTACTATATAATTTTCTATGATAATAAAGATTTTTTTATATTTTTGAGTACAGGGTGGACCATAAATAACACAGCGATAAAAAACAAATATCTCCACTCCAGTTCAGCCAAATGAGCTGATTCTTTGGCTAGTAATAGAACTTTATTCGAAGTTTTTTTCATACGGATAATGTAAACAAATACTTCTATTATGTAATATTGTTGACTACACTAAAGAAATTTTATCTATTATCAAGTAAGAAAAAATATATAAAACGTTTCATAGAAAATTTTCAGCTGCTACCTAAGAGAATAACAAGAAGAAATTTAAACAAACTTTATGAAATGCATAATTGAAATCTTTTGAGCAACGAATATCCCATTTCCTTGGAAAACCAGTATTTTATGCTTGAGAATTTGAAATATTAGCATCATTGATTTTTACACTAACTATTTCTGTAAGTTTGCTCTATTTCCATCAATATTATATTATTCATAAATTTTATTTGAATTTCTTCTTGTTATAATTTGAGGTGCCAGCTGAAAATTATCTATGGAACATTTTATATATTTTTTTCTTACTTGATAATAGATAAAATTTCTTTAGTGTAGTCAACAATAACATTGTCTGTATGAAAAAATACATTGAATAAAGTTCTATCACTAGCAAAAAAATCAGCTCATTTGATTGAACTGGAGTGGAGATATTTCAGTTTTTTATCGCCATGTTATTTATGACTCACTCTGTATAGGAACAAATTACTAATTAGAGGTTTTCTTAGCAAAGATTCATTGGAATCGATTAAGCGAGGTGTGGAGTCGATAGAGTGCGACGAGTTCTATCTGAAACCATCATTAGTATTGTTGGAATGAACTTCTGGGCAAATTGCGATGGGTTTTTCGGTATTTGAAAGTTTTTTTAGTATTTTTTTTTGCAGTATTTCGGGTTATTCTTCAGGATAAAATGATCGTATCGGAAAAGTGACGAGTAGATTGGGTAGAGCTCATCAAGTTCTACTTGTAGCCAACGCAATCTCAATTGGAGCCAGCATTGTTACGAATCCATTCAGAAAACACTCAAATCTTGACCTAAGATATCCTACATGATCTCTTCAACATTATGATTTATAGCAGATCTTTTGTTATCATAGTAAGGAAATCGACTATGCTCTACACGATTTGAAACATGAAAATCGATTTGAAGAAAATCATTTATAAAGTGTCACATATTGTGATAGAATTACCCATATGTGTAAATGGTTAGGCATTAAAAGAGACGAGAAAAAAGAATAAAGAGAAAATCAAGAAAAGAATATGAACTAATTTCACCATCACACATCATAACCAAATAGACCTTATTGAAATTTTATTATTATGATATTAGCTGAAAAATAATCAAATATCATAGAAAAATAAATATTATTTCAATTTTAAATCTCAAACATTTTCGAAATTCTTTAAATACTATTTATTCACTATTTAAACTTATCATTACAATCGACAAAAGAAATATCTATTCAAAAGAAATAATTCTTCTCTTGAAGAACATCAAAATATTTAATCGTTCTCTTTTCATCCCTGGACATACAAACATACACATTCTATCCATATATAACTATCTATAAAAACAAATACAAATCATCATATATTCTTCATCGTCTTTCTTTACATTTAACAAACAAAAAAAACAAGAAACACATGTGTGATTCAACTGGTGTACATATAACTCGAATCTATGTAAATTGTACACGAAAAACTCCTTCACCAATTCGTTCATCAAATACAATTCCTGTATGTACATCAACACCAATAAGTAATATTGATTCAACAAATTCAATATTACAACAACAAGTGGGTTTACTTGCTAAAGAAGTTCTTGCATTACAACAAGGTTCATCAGAAATATTAATACAAAATACTGAATCATTACAAAATGAACAATATATATTTATTTCAAAAGGAACAGGTCAACAAATTGATTTTTTAACAGGTGAAGGAATTACTAAAATAACAAATTCGAATACAGGAACAATAAATAAAAAGAAAAAACGACGACAATCAAATGCTGTTCTACCAACAATATCAAGTCGTATGTATTTTAAATGAGATATTTAATTTAATATATACTGTTTTTTTTTGTTAAAGGTTCATCAAAATCAAGTGACGATGGAGATTATTCAGTAGTTACGAATAATGATATGCCGTTATCAAATGAAAAGAAAAAAGCAAATTTTACATCTTATGATGGTATACAAGTGTTTACATTTACATTAGATGATGATTAGAATTCTATTTATTATTCTTTTTTTTTTTATTTCCAATTTCTTTTTTTTTTTTTAAATGAATAAAATCTAATAAATAAAAACATGATGTATATTTTCTTTTATTTCTCCCAAACGAAAAGAAAAAAGAAAAAGAAAAAGAAAAGAAACAGGAACAGATTGTCAATCACACAAACAAACAAACAACAACAACAACAAAATAAGAATATTAATGTGTCTGTACAACAAACAAAAAAAAAAAAAAAAGCAAAAGAAAATCTATCAAAATGATAGTACACATTTAATAGTCACTGTTTTTTTTTGTGTTTTTGTTAGTTTGTCTCTTTCTTGAAGAATGTCGATCACAAAGAAAAGAAAAACAAAGAAAAACTTGAGAAGACTAGATCTGAACATTGAATTTGATTTATTTATTTATTTGTTTTCTTTTTTCTTTGTTTATTCACTTAATAAACGTTGTTTAAGTACACGACCACGTTTTGATACTCGTGTTGGTTGAGTAGTACGTGGTCGTCGACGATTTTCATCTTCTTCATCATGTTCTTCATCAGAAAAATCTTCAGCAAATGAAGATTTTCGATTTACTGTTACACGTCGTCGTGTACGAGTTCGAGTTTTATATGTTATATTTACATGTAAATCTGTCGAATCAGTTTCGGACGATGAACGTGTACGAATAGTTGAGCGTTTTCGTTTATTATTTTGATTTGGTAATGGTGGTGATGGACGATTTGTTGTACTACGTAATTTACGTACTCGATTACCATTTATATTTGTACGACGATGTTGACTTGGCCCATCCAATTGATAATCCGAATCGGAATCATCATCATCTTTTTGACGTGGAGATATTAAATCATTATGATCTTCATCTTCATCTTCATCATCACGATATATTGGTGGTTCATAATCTTCATCATCAGTTTTCTCTAGAAAAGAAAAGATAAATATTAATTATATTCAATTCGAAATAAATTCTAAGGATATGTAATTTTTTTTTTTCGATCTGAATTTTTGATGAGTAATATACGGTATAGATTAATTAAAAAAGATTCGAACAAAGAACTATAATCCTATTATCATAGCTGTAAATGTTTCATCTTCATTAGATTTAAGTTATTCACAATTGCTAGTTATATCATTTATTTGTTAAGAAAAAAATTTAATGAAAAATTCAGATAGTTTATCATTTGTAATTAGTAAACGAAAAAAATGACACTATAGTTTTTTTTTAATTTCTTGCTTTATGTATGATCTCTGTTAGTATTTTGCCATATAATAAAAAAACTGTCTTGCTAGTCGGAATCCTTCTAAAGTATTTTTCGATCTTTCTACAGCCAACTAATATTTCCAGGTCTAACTCTATGATGTACATAATTTCGAGAAAACTTAGATTTCAATTCCATAGAGTTTGCTTTTTTTTTCTATATCATAATGAAATGAATTGCATTTTAATGTTTTTAGATGTCCGGTTTTTATACTGCGATTAAAATATTTATGAAAAGTTTTTATAAGGTAGAAATCGATTCTGGATTTCTAATATTGACAAAAAGAAATATGTATATTTTAATTATCATGTTAAAGTTTCCGTCGGATTTTTAATATTTTATTAATATGTTAACAAAAAATTAAAAATATGTTTACCTTTCGATTTATCATTATCTTTTTTCGTTTGTTCGATATCTTCTTGATTATCATTCGTTATATTTGTTTTAGTTGTTTTTTGTTGATTATTATTATCATCATCATCATCATCATCATCTTCATCTTCATGTTCATCACTGTCAATTTTATAATTAGGTCGATTAATTGAAGTTATTCTTCTATCACTACGTTCAATACGATTTCTTTTACTATTCGATGATATATCATTATCATCATCAGATGCTGATAAATTTTGTTGTTGTTGTGAACGACTATCATAATCATCACTATGATTTCTATTTGAAGCTGTTGATCTTGTACTATATCGTGTTCGTGTTTGCCATGTACTATTATTTTCATTCGTAGTCATACGTTGTCGTGTTTGACGTAATGATAAATTTGCACCGGTATTATGATCATTTGTTGTTGTTGTTGTTGTTGTATGAATAAATGATGTTAACGATATAGGTTGAGTACTTTGTGTTGATACTGATTCATTATCATCCATATCATCATCATCAGAATTTTGTTGTTGTGATATTACTGAATGATTATTTAATGATGATAAACGATTAAAATGAGAATGACGACGATCAGTTGTTAAAGTTGTTGGAGAAACTAAAACACAAAACAAGTTTGATTTTCAAAAATAAGAAAAAAAAAACCATGCGATTGAATTACATTGTGTTCGTCGATTTTGTCGACTACTTGAGCTTGTTGTCGTTGTTGTTGTTGTTGTTGTTGTTGTTGTTGCTGCTGCTAGTGGTGCATCACCTGTTGTATAAACATTATTTTCATCCGTTGATGAATTTTGTAAATCTCTATAAAAATTATAAAAAAAAATATCTGTTAGTACAGTCTCTACAGGATTAAAATATGAAACACGATGTAGTTGCTCTTACTAAACAGAGGGAGATTTTTCTATTTTAGGATACATTTCTTCATCATCCTTTTATTTAACCCTTCAGAAATGTAATAATGAAGTAGTTTTTGTGGGAAATCTAAATTTTTATCTCTATACTGCAACTAGAGAGTTGTGGTTCATAAATACAACGAAAACTATTCCATATAACTCAAGATTTTGATGTTACTGTGGATGAGACGAATTTTGTTTTATCAATTAACTGTTCAATTTCTTCTTTTTGTTAACATAATGTTCTTTTCAACTAAGCGAAAACTTTTAATTTATTAAGCATCGAGTTATGAAAAAGTGAGCAACAAGAATTAACTGTATATTGACTATTTTTCAAAAACTTAGGACTGAATTCGAACGGATTCAAGTCCACAAAAATATGGACATGTATGTCGCCTAACTTCAACACTCCTTTGACATCATGTTTAAAATAAATTAAATACCGTCGTCGAGTTGTCATTTCGGTAGTATATTGATGATTCGATCGACGTTGTCGACGATCGAATATAGCAACACGTTGATCAAACCATGGTCCCAAATGTCTCACAACATTAATCATCTATTGAACAAAAACAAAAAAAAAATTATTACATTAAAGAAAAAATTAATAACTATTTTTTCGATTCATTTTACCTCGGGATCAGCATATGTTAATGCATTTTGAAATATTAAATGACAATCAGCAATAAATTCTCTTGAATGTTTATATCCACAAGGTGTTTGATTAAGTTTTGCTTGTATATCATCAAAACAAATAGGTGTTTTTATTATTCTTTCATAATCCTTTGTGCAAAAACAAAAAGTCAAATTATTAAAATTATTTTTAATAAAATCTATTCATACGGGATATTCATTTTCATCAATTGGATGACGTAATAAATCACTTCCCGATTGAGATAATATATCATTAAGTATTGTTTGACAATCATCAAGCCATTCTTCATTCTAAAAAACAAAAATAAAAACATTTAAATTTGTTTTTATTTCTGAATTTGTAAAAAAAAATAAACAGAATACGAACCCATGATGATGAAATAGGTAATGAAATTTGTTCTGAATGTAATGCACGTTGATAGATTAGATTTATATCATTACAATTATAATCACTAAAAAGAACATATATATATATTTTTTTATTTTATTTAATAGAAAACAAAAAGAAGAAGAAGAAGAATGAAAGAATTGTAAATATTTTTACTCGATATATTTAAGTAAAACTTTGGTGACAATTTTAACTTGTTCGATTATTTGACTTCCTTTTTCATTGAAATTTTTTGCATTTTCTTCCATTTTTTTTACATCCCATTTAAGTGCATTTGATCGACGATAATAACCATTGAATATACGTTCTCGAATTGTACCAAGATCAATTGGATAAGCAATAACAACTGGATACCAAGCAAGTTGAACTAAGAAATAAAACAAAGATAAATGTCTTGTAAAAACAAAACGAAAATTGTTCTTTATTCATTATTTTTCAGTCTCGATATATGTATACATAACCAGTCATATCTTTGATTGGATACAATAATTATATTTCTCATCTAATTATTTATAATGATCTATTAAAAAATTATTTTCTATAATGAATTACATTCGTCTTATGACTGAGACAATGAAAAAAGCATATAAAGTTTCTATTGAAATTTGATTTGTGAAATTCTTAAACTCTTTCTTGTCTTTGACTAAATCTGACGACTCGGAAGGATAATTCGCTCAATAAAATCAATCTTATAACTTCTAGTATACATAGGAAAAGTTCAAACCAAATCCGTCAAGTACCAATATATTAAATACGTAATGAATTTGTTGTTCTTTTTTATTTGAAAAATATTTTGCAATTTACAACAAAACAGGTACGATAACATAATTCATGTAAATCTATGAACACTACATTCACGTTGTACGGTGTGACTATGACTGAATATAATGCTCACATAATCTAATCATATACACACAGAGTTGGAACCGGTGTGCTTTATTTATTTTTACTCTCATTATCTCATAGAGAATGTGTAATGAGACTTTGTTGAAAGTATACTATGTGAAATATCGCTATTCACAGATGGAATAGTGCGAGAACTTTTCAATCTACTGTCACTATGGGTTTCAGATTGACCGGTCGGTACTATCTCTGCACACAACACACTCACTGCATCCCAAAAATTAATTTTATAATAAGGATTAGATTCAGATTCTTGATTTGAATTCTACAATAGATAGACTTTAAGTTAATATAAAATCTGTTTCTAAATGTCTCATAGTTCAAAAAAAGGATTACATTCAATTTCGAATACAATATACAAAGTCTATTCTTTCTATCATACTCTATATAACAAAGACTTCCAGTTATATCCATTGAATTTAATGGAAATAATATTTTTCTATATAAATCATTCATAATCAAAATATTTACCCGGTGCTCGAAATTGTTCAGTTACATCCATTTGCATGAGTGTATCAATTCCTTTTAATAAACGCTCACGTTCATTATCAACACCGTGTAATGGCCATTCATCTGTTGCTGGTTGATAAGATGGCATTTTCATTAGATTTGATTCATTTGATTCACAAGCTAAACAAAAAAAAAAATCTAAAATATTAAATTAAAATAAATAAAATTTGTCCATACGCGAATCTTCACATTCGAAAATATCCCATGGACTCAGTCTTTCTTCATTTTCACCATTATCCCATCGAATAATATAACATTGAAAAGGACTATTTTCATGACGAATATCAAATGCTTCACGTTTAACAATTGTTCCTGGCCACCAAGTATCATCAATAAAACATCGAAAATGATCACCTAATAAGAAAAAAAAAAAATTTTTTTAAATATCTTCAATATATAAAATTTTTGAAATACCAGTTTTCCATTCTCGTTGTAAAGCTTGAACATAATGTTGTTTTAAAATAATAAAATCAGCAATACCATCAACATCATGAAATCTATAAAAAAAAAAAAAACAAATAAAATTTTTTTTATTGAACTTTTAAAATTTCTATATAGTTTTTTTTCTTACTTAACACTTATTCTTCGTGATGTAGCTTCCAGTGTATCAGGATTTAATAATTGAAGTCGAACATTAATAACACGCGGTGGTTGTTTATCAGAAAAACTTATAGATACACCAATTACTGTAGCACATTCAACAGCCTTTTTTAAAAAAAAAATTCAATAAAATATTGCAAAAAGTCATATTTTCAAAAATAATTTTATTTCATATTAATTTCAAAGAATGATGCATAGTAAAAAGATTTAAACGATCTCAACGTGAATAACAACGACACAATAAATTCATTATGTTTTACTGTATTGATATTATTATAGTTTTCAAAAACGGATTTAATGAAACATCAATGTGAACAAAAGTTTGTTTATTATAGAATATTAAAATTATTTTAATAATAATAGATGTAATGAATTCATGTGATGATTAGTGATTTATGTTCTATTGATATCAAACGATTGTAAAATTTCATAGATCCTTTTATAGTATAAACAACACTGATTTAGTCTAGAAAAATTATTTTTTATTTTTGTATTTATTTTATAATATATTTTATAAGTCTATGAATATTTTAAGAGAACAATGAAATCTATCGAATACTTACATCAAGTGATTCACATTTATTCCATGGTAAAGTTTTTTCATCAATTTCATACATTTTTTTATCTTTAACTTCATTAATATATAATTCATGACCTTGTATAAAATACATAACAATATCACCAATTTGTGGTATATATGGTGAACATTTTGCCATTGTACGTGTTAACCAATCTGGTGGTTTAAAATCTGGTGAATAATTTAATTCAAGTTCATGTTTATTTTCAAATTCTTCTTTTTTTGTTTTAACTTGTTCACGTCGTTTTTTTAAACGTTTTAATTTATTTCGTCGACGATGTTGTGTTTTAGCTTCTTGTACTTGACGATTTTCATGTTCATGTTTATCATTATCATCATCATCTTCATCTGGTGATAAATTTCGATGTCTTTGTACACGTCTTTGTTGTCCTGTACGTGTTACTATACCAGTTGTTCGTGTTGTTGTTGTAACAACAAGATCTTCATCTGTTGATACACTATCATCATCACCACCACCACTCATTTCACTAGAAAAGAAATTTTCGTTGTTTTTTTTTTCTTGTATATTTAACTTTTTGTCATTAGGTTTTTGTTTTTCTATTTTACCTATCACCAACTGGTACAGTTGCATTTGGTGAATATTGATCATCGGATAGATCAGTTTTATCTTCTTTATCAGAATCATATAATGCTCGAGTTGTTAAACGATTAATTGCAACTTCAACATTATGTGGAACTTTTTTAAGAAGTTCTTCTTGACGCATTTTAACAACATTACGTGTTGTACGTTTTTTTATTGGTGATGAATCATACTAAAGAAGCAAATTATTCAATAAATAATTTAATATTCATTAAAGTAAGCTTATCCAATCAGATAATACATTGACTTGTTGATGTCTACTGAGAAAATCAAGATAAATTGGAATAAAGAAATGTTAAATAATTGTTCTCAACGGTGTCTAAATTAGAAAGGTGTGAAACCAAATTTTTCGAGTCCCGATTCCGGTCCTACATAGCTCTAGTTTCAATATATTTCGAGTAATATTCTTGTGAAAATCGATTACGTATAAAACTATTTAAATACTTTACCCCTAATAAAAAAATGAATTGTTAAAGGCATAGGTGTCATATATATTATAAATACACTTTAGTTCAGATATGAGAGAGAGAGAGACAGATCATATAACATATGTCATAGAAATAATGAGATGATTTATGTTGCAACAGGGATAACAAGATCAATGTTTTTTGAACGCATACATACTATAATTGATTTCTCTCTTTTTTTTTCTTTGAAAAGTATCTTACCAAATCTCTATGATCAGCTTTTTTCAAATATTCTCTTTCATAAGTAATTCGTTCATCATCATATCTAGCATCTCGAATACTTTCGCTATATCTTAAAAAAAAGAGAATTATGAATAATAATAATAATAATATTCAATAAAATCAATCTATTCTTACTCTAGTTCAGATTCATTCAATGATGGTATTAAATTTCTATGATAAACAAATGTTTGTTTTTTCTCGATATTTAATCTAAATGTTGATATATCAATTGTTTCTAAATATAAATAAAATATTAATTAATCAATAAAAAAATTTTTTTTGTTTTTATTTTTTCTTACCAAATTTTCTTGCCATAAATGTACTTGTCATTGCTGGAGTTGTCATTGGTTCAGCAATAATAAGATCTAAACAATTTTATTATTTTCTAAAAATTATAAAATAATAATTTTACCTTCTAAATATTCATGATTAACAACCGTAGCTGTATTATCATTTTGTGAATAATTTTCTCTTCCTGGTACATGTTTTTGTATATCATATGAATAAGCATGACCATGATCATCAATAAGATATGGTGGTGGTAATAAATGTGGTGGAATTTGTTGTTGTTCATCAAGTACATTATCATTACTATCACGAATTAATGGACGTAAATCATTATGAAAAAATTGTTCAATTTGAGTTTGATTATATCTTGTATCAGTACCAAGACCAAAAAAACATATTTGACCACAAAGATCTGTTGTACATATAACATCACAATGAGGAGACCATTTTGCTTCAGAATATGGTATTGAACATGGAATATCAATATATTGCTTGAATAGAAGAAGAAAAACAACAACAAAAAAAAAAAACAGCGTTAAATAAAAGACAAAAATCTAGCAAATGAAATATATTACATCGTTAAGAAAAGATTTGATGACTCGACCATCCATCATATCCCAAATAACTAATAGTCCATCATGTCCTGCAGAACATAATAGACGTTCATTTGTTGGATGACATTCAAGTACAAAAACGGTTTTTTCATGTTTCTATAAAATAAAAAGTTGTTTTTGAAAAAATGAATCAATTCATTTTTTCTTAATTTACTTTAAGTTCATTAAGTAATGTTCCTTGATTTGGTTCCCAAACTTTAATAAGACCATTCTCATATGCAGTAGCAACATGTCGATCAGTACATGACCATGAAACAATTGTTACAGGTATTACTTTATTACTTATGCTTGTTGAATGATTATTTGAATCATTACTGCTAAATAAAAATCAAATGATTTTTCATGAATATTTGTTTAAGAGACTAGATCGATTTCAATTACAACAGGACGTTAAATGAAGAAGAATCTCGTGAGATTTCAAATTGCTTATGAATCGAAAATATATTTATTCGATAAAATGGTTCGTTTTTTCACACCTCTCTTCTTCATATTATTTTTTTTTTCTAGAAAAACCCATTTCTGTAAAAATTCGATATCTATAAAATACGTCGTCATATTCCTCCAGAAATACGACATAATTATTCTACAAAAAGAAATGTTCAATTACTTTTTTTCTACATCATCATAATAATTAAGAACAATAGCTCTCCATGATTGTTGTTCATAACGCCAAATACGAGCTGTACCATCTTTACTACCAGAAATAAATGAATTAGTTAAATGTGAATAACATATTGTTTCAACAACACTCTATAAAAAAAACAACAAATTGTCATAATTAATTTTTTTTATGAAAAAAAAAAAAAACTAAATTTTTAATTTACTGTATGTCGATCAAGTTCACAAATTTTTAACGGTGAATAAGTATGAAATGAATAAACTCGAATAACAGAATCACTACTACCAGCAGCTACAAAATAACCACCTAAAATAAAAATGATTTTTGTTAAATAATATAGTTAGGATAAAAATAACATATACCTGGACTAAATGATAAACAAAGCATTTGTGCTCCAGCACGACTTTTTTCAACAAATTTGATTGGTCGAGGTCTAAAAATTTTATATAAAACTCGTATTTTAAAGAAAATTTATTTTTGTTTTTATATGTCTGAAATTTTAGCTATAATTATCGAATACAGGCGATATTGATTTTATCGAATTAATACAGAGTAATATGCATACTAGAATAATACTCTTTCTACAAATAACAAGATCGAATCGTTTTTTTTTTTTCGTAGTATACAGTGTAAAATATGCCAGACAAAAAAAGCTGGAAAGAAATAGACAGAGGAAGTAAATTATTAAAATATAAATGTACAGACATTGTTAATCAGTTCTTAATCCTTAAAACCCTCTTGGTCACTCGAGCGACCATTTGTGGAAGAAAAAGAAAGCATGGAATTAAATGATTTTGGGAACTAAACTATCCATTGATAAGAAAATGTTTTGTTTTATATTGCTCCATCTTCGAAAAAGATGAATTACAAAATTGATAAATTTGAAAAAATCGTGGAAATTGAGTTTTTTGAAATAAAAATCTTTTTCTATCAACAAACAAGACCTAAACTGGGAATGTTTTGGGTGATATACAAATGATGATGATGTCTACTACTGGCATCAATACCATTTGAAACTTTTATAAAAGTTAGGTAGAAGATAGATAATAAAACACAGAATGATTATTGTGGATTTTCCAGAAACCCAAACCTTTAATTGTTTTAGCGCATAAAACTCAGGCATAAAATTTACTCGTATCATATGAAATACAAGAACAAACTATTTTCTACAAGATAAGATGTTCTCGAACTCTCTACAACGTTTTTTACCGAACTACATCAGATTTATCGAAGATCTCATATAGAATTTTTATCAAGTAATTTTTCTCTAAATGATCATCAGAATGACCAAATGAGAGTGCGCCTGATCGATCTGTCCATACTATCGATGTATCGGAGACACCATATTTCTATTCCAATGGTTGTTTCATCAGTGACTCCTTTTTTAATCTATATAGGGATAAAGATTTAATTTTTCGTTATAAAATCAACTAATATATTGAGTATTTTTGAATTTAAATTAATCAATACAAAGTATCTCAATAAGAATGTAGCATAGAGTCACTTAGAAGATTGATTTTTTTTTTCTCGAATAGCATAATAAATTCTAGTATTCATTTTAATGTTAAATAACAGAGACTCAAACTCAAATTTAATCGATTTGATATTTTTGCGAACTTACAAAAAATCAAAAAAATAGAATAAAACTATATCTTTACTCGAAATCCGTTGTTCCAATACGATATTTCCAAAAACAAATACTTCCATCATGTCCAACTGATGCTAACCATCGATCATCTGTTTTACAAAATGGTGAAAACTACAAAAAAAAAAAAAAATTCTCTTCCATAAATATTCAAATGAACAATTTCAATAAATAGAAAAAAAACATACTTTTGTTGCATTAATTCCACTTTGATGTCCATGTAAAACACATTCCATTTTAGTTGTTTTTAAATTCCAAACTCGTACTTTTTTATCAAGACTTGCACTAGCAACAAGTGTATTTTCAAAATTAATATCAATATCACAAATTTCTTTTGAATGACCACGAAATGTTGCTAATAAACGACCTGTATGTACATGCCACATTTTAAGAAGAAAATCATCAGCACCCTAAAACAATTTATAAAAAAATTTTATTTTTGTAGTTTTTTTGCTTTTCAAATCTTACTGATAATGCATAAGTTCCTGTACGATCAAAAGCAATACAATAAATTGATGCTTTATGTGCAATAACTTTCAATCTCATATTCATTCGTTGATATAAATCACTCGATGGTAATTGTTTAACAGATAATGTTCGACCAAAATATTCTCGTTCACGTAAAATTATTTCTATTAAAATTTTTTTGTTTTTTAATTTCAAAGAATAGAAAAAAAAACAATGAATATAGATTTATCTTACGTATATTACGATTTGTTGGATTTGATAAATATTTACATGGATGATATGCTGTTGTAAACATATTATATTTACGATCTAAGATTAAAAGAAAGAAAAAAAATAAATATTCGATATTTTGTGTTCTTGTTTTTATTAAATATATACTATATGATTTTTTTTGTTTATTTTCAAGAAAACAAGTTGGATCCATTTGAAGAAGAAATGTTGATAGTGAACCAAAACGTTTTCCAATACCTTGTTCAACATAGGACATAACATTTTCTAATAAACGAAATAAATGATCATCAGGAATATAGGAATATTGTTGTTCCTAAATATTGAAAAAGAGAAATTAATGAAAATTATTATTTTTGTTTTTTTTTTCAATTTACTTACTAATTCGGAAAAGGATATTTGACGTTCAACGCCATTCCAATTGCGTGTAGACGGCAAAAGCTTTAAAAATAAAAGAATAATTTCACATTCATTATAATTTCATTGAAAAGACAAAACTTACATTATTTTGTTCAAGTGTTTGTATAAAATCCTATAAAAAAAATTGAAATAAATAAATAGATAAATAAATAAATCTTAATAGATTTTGTTACATTAGCAACATTTGAATTTGGTAATCCACGAAGATATTTAGCAATAAGAAAATTTAAACCAGGAGATGAAGCCATATTAGTAAAAAGTTTTTTACATGTTGATCAATGAGTTTCTCTTTTTTTGCATGGGAAAAGGTGATGATAGAATAATATGACCCAAGTTATATTGGATTGGATAGGTCATTAGAAAAGTTTTAGCAAATGAAAATGATATAAATTCACTTTTATCCAATAAATTTTTAATAATTATTTAGTTAAAGATATTTACATGAATAGTCAATATGAATATGAGAAATTGATTTAGATTTATTCTTTTTTAATTGATGAAAAGTAATTGATATGTAACCGTATACTAGAGTCATCTACAGGAGTTCGAGGTGAACTATTTCAAACAATAAAAGAAAAGAAATCAGAGATTGAGATTTAAGATCCTTGAATTTGATTTATCATGCAAACACATATGTTATAATAGGGAATTATGTTTATCAGTCGTTGAAATCGAATTATTTGCATTGAGCGGATAAAGACAAAGTTTTTATTTTTTCTTTAAAGAAATATAAGGTTTAACGTTGTAAAGAATCGAAGACAATCGAATGAACATGTAGTTATTGTATGGGCACAGAGATGTTCCGAAATCGACAGTATTACAAAAAAGGATCGAAAGTTTTTTCTTTGAGAATTGGCGAGCATAAAAACGAATAAAGCACTGGATCTTTGCTAAGAAAAAAAAACGAAAGTTTCTCAAGATTAGGGGAGGGTGGGGAGCGAAGTTAACACTCTTCGCTCGGGGCACCTCTGTATTTGTATAGACCTGTCGTATATACCTATGCAATGAGTAATGTACCTTTTAAGGTTTCAGAGCAACAAAGTTGTTTTTAATATCGCTAGTCACTAAAACCTTGAGACAGGTTTTGCATAACTTCACTATATGCATATACAAGTAACAGGTTAATATAATACTGTTTTTGAAGCATGATTATGTCAATCAATATATATGGATTATTTGACATTTTATAATCAAATGTGATTATTCTAAGTTTTTTATAATCAATTAGTTTTCTTGATAATTACCTTATCAATAAGTATATTAAATAAAATGATGTAGACTATAAGAATACCAATGATTGTTTTTTTTTATTGTCCTTGTAATAAATTCATTCTAGAATTTTCTTTATATTACATTTGCATAAAAAGCAAACAACATAGGAATAAGAATTGATAGCAGATGTTTGGTTATCTCTGTATATAAAATACTTATTTATATTCCCTTTGATATGCGCATATGAGTACTGAAAAATCTATAAAAAGTTAGTAACATTATATATAATGTTTTATATGATTAAATTTATTCTTTTTTTTTCCTTGTTATTTGAAAACTAATTCTCCAATCTATTTCGAAGGTAAAAATAGTATAAAGAAAAAACGAGAAAGAAAAAGTCAATCTATGAATATTTCATATCATTTTAATTAGAGATTGAAATAAATATCAATGTAAAATTAAATAATGTAGTACAATTATAAAATACTTCATCATCTTAAATTATCAATGTCTTAGTTAAACATGAACGAAATAATTTGCCATTATTATTTATACTAATGATATTACAATGACTCCTACTATTGTTACATAAACTTGCTCTACAACTACAGTAGACACAATTTTGAAATATAACTTTACAAAATCAGAGACAAACCATTAAATAATACTAATGCAACGAATCTGTGGTGATTAAACTGATGGTTTCAATTACCAACGAGTTTCACACTCATTGAAAATAACATTTTCTAAAAACTTTTTTGTAAATGTTGAAAAATAATATTATGATTGTTATTCCATATACAAAATCACATAATAACAATAAATAAATAAATTTTTGAGTTAAGCAATGAAAAAACGAAAAAACAAACACTTTGTATCAAAATAGTAAAAAAAGAAAAAGAATGAAGAAAATTTTTACATTTGTGTTGAAGTAATTCCATAATTATTATTCACTTGTTGTTCTTGTCGTTGTTCATTAGGTAATTCTTCATATGTTGGTAATTTACCACCATCATTTTCTATATTAATTATTGCTTCAGTATATGCTGGTGGTAAATCGGGTTTAAAATGATGACGTTCAATAGTAGCTATTTGAGGTCGAACAGTAGCTGAATGACGATGAGAAAATGACCTATTGGGAGAACGAGATTTACACAACATTAAACATATCCGAAGAATACCAAGACCAAGTGCAATACCAGCTAATATTAAAGCAGCACGTTTTAAATTATCACTAAATGAATCCAAATTAGGTCCTCGTTTTTTTGTTGTTGTGAAATCTTGACGAGATGATGATAAAGTTTGCCGTGGAGTTGTATATTGAGGTGTTGATCGTAACGTTATCCGTTGTACTAGACTTCGGAAAAATAGAGAAGATGGAGTTGAAACAGATAATGAATTATTCGGAATAAAAGTGCAATTTTGACGAAGAATATTACACCGTATAAAATGAACAGTTTCTTTCATAGGACTACAGACGGCTTGTGTGATAAAAATGAAAAATAAGCAAATTAATTGCTTTTTATGTTGTTGACGTAATATATGCATGATAGATGTGTCTGTTTGATAAGCGACTATGGACTTTTTTTATTCTTTATATACTTCTGCTCTTTTCTTATTCTAACTAAACGACGAATGACTTTTATTTTGTGTGTCACTATACTGATGACAACTCGGTATCATAAAGGTATCTTATATTGACATAAACTCGACAAAATGGGAGAAAAGAAACAACAGCTTTAAAAAGAGTAACATATTGAAAAAAAAGAAGTAAAGAAAGAACAATAAAAAAAAAACGACAAATGAGAATCTTTGATGAATATCATTATCAATCCTTTTTAGTGAATATGCTCCTACTTGAAATTATGTAATTGTTTTTTGTTTCGTCATCTTCATATATTTTCAATATGTGTAATGATTTATTATTTTATTAAAAATATTACAATTATTAATCGATATCTAATTATATCACTGAAAATCTTTTTTTTATTATGAAATATTTTATATTTCCATGCTCATTTCGATCGCATTGTATGCGAACGACGAATTGTTTTCGAACTAGTGGATTTGTTTTTAGAACCATGATAATGTTTTGTTGTTGAAGGTACAACACCTGTTTTTTCTACTTGTTTATCATGAGAAAGTATTTGTTGTTCATCGACAATGATAGATGTAGATGGTTTTTCTTCATTGTTCGTTGTAGTTCGTTTTAATCTTTGTTCTTGACAATTATCGATTACTTGTTCAGCGACTACGATAGGATAACATTTATATACATATATATATATATAGATATAGATATAATAATCAAGAAGAAAACAAAAAACAAAACAAAAAAGAAAAATACTCGAAGGCGTATTTTGTTCGATCACATTAGTGTTTAAGTCATCATATGAATGTTGTTTTAATGAAACATCTCCATTTATCATTTGTTTATAGGCACGTTCATTTTCTTCACACATCCGCAAATCATCATCGGTTCGTAATGGACTACCAAATTTTTTTTCAAGTTTTTTTTGGGCCTAAAAAAGATTAAATATAAATGATTTATCTAATCTAATCAATTCATTAAAATAGATATTCAAGCATAGAAAAGAAAATATAGTAGAAACTTTACATTGACCAATAAACTGGTTCAGCAATAAAAGCCGGTTCAAATTGTTGCCAATAGATATGTAAAGAAAATTTAACAAAAATTTCATCATCATCAAATGCATAAGTAGGATAACGTCGTATTAAACGATACCAATTCTAACGCAAATGATATTGATTAGTGAATATGTTATTATATTCTAGAAGAACATACCTTTTTGACATCATTTGTATAATATTTTTTTAATTGAGTTAAAAAACCTGGATTTGGATGAATATAACCTCTAGCACCTTTAACAATCTGGAGAGCTTTTTCAACATCATAATCTCCAATAGTCATGATATAAGCTAAAACAATAGTTGCACTTCTTGATACTCCTGCTTGACTATAAACATGAAAAGAAAACAAAAATTCGCTATTAAACTTCAAGATCTTTTCTTTTCTACCAATGAACAAGAATATTTTCATGTTCGATTCTTGCTTGATGAATAAATTCAATACATTTTTCAAAATATTGTGCAAGATCTTGTTCTTGTACATCAGCTGCTGGAATATTTAATATATGTGTTGGTTTATGTTCTTCTTTATCAACAATTATATTTGGTACATCAATAATACATAAAATACGTTTCACTTTATTTTTCATCATTAATGCACTATTTGTTCGATCTTTTAATGAACCCAAATAGAGATGTGGTAAAACAAGTGACATTTCACCACCCATATTAACTGCGGGTAATTTGTTATCAACCTGGTGAGGATGAGATGAAAATCATAAATAAATAAAATCGAAACAAGACTTTTTTTTGTTGTTATAAATTTAATCGAAAAAAAATTCATTAGCTTTTTTTTTATTATTGTGCTTGTAACTAAGGGAATATCAAGTCATGTTTACTCTTGGATAAATACCTTGCGATCTAAATAGCGTTGAGAGAATGGCATCGGATGTCTTTGGTGCTGCAGAGTTCTGTCGGGAAAAACAAGGAAATGGCACAGCGAGATAGTAGAATAAATAAGTACATTTTTTTGGAGCAAAATAAGAAAGGTTGCAATAATCTTCTTTCTCATTGCTGATGTCAATGGCGACAAATGATAAAGACGACAAAGCAGAGAAAAACAATCATTAGACCTTGTTCTTTCTTTTATTTCATTGATACAACAGAATATTTCTTTGATATCTTTGTTTTAATGTATACTCACATTATGCAAAGCTATAATAAATTGTTTTTATGAAATATAGAAACCAACAAATGATAAATTATTCCTTTTGTAATATTTTGATACATATAATCGGTGAGAGAAGATTATTTTAATAAAAAACAATTTCATTTTGTTTCTATCATGATTTGTTTTTTTTTTTCTTTTGAATCTTTCGTAGATATGTAAAAAGTAGACAAACAAATTACACTTAGTATACAAGAAGATTGATGTTTGACTTTTTGTTTTTTTTTTTTTTTATGTCTTTTGTTTTTTTCTTTTTTTTTGCCGTTCGTATGTATGATCGTCGTTGTAGAACACAAAAAAAAAGAAAAAGAAAATAGAAGAGAAGAGAAAGAACGAGCGATGATGAAATGAAAGAGATAGAAAAAGAGAAAAAAAAGAGAAAGATATAAGTAATCGGTCTATGCCATTGCCCATTTGTCAACAATCTACACATACACACAGACACAATCGAGATCCGAGACTATTCTCACAGAGTAGCGCATAAAAGGCACATAAATACACACACATCATACAGCTGTCGGACCCTGAGATATGCAGAAGAAAAGAAAAAGAGAGACGATTGACTAGTGAATTGTGGCCGGGTCGTCTGCTGTTGTTTTGAGAGAAGAAAGACTTTATCGACTCGTTAATATGCATGTGTGTGAATGTGCATCGAAAGAAGATCCGTTATTTCATCACTCTAAATAATAGAAACAAAAAAAAAAAAAGAATTAGTTATATAGACAAAAAATAATTATAATAATAACAACAATAGATGAAATTTAGACCTTGTGCTGGACCGGCCAGCGAAATATTATCGCAATTATTTTGTTGTTGTTGTTGTTGTACTAATGCTAAAGATTTCGGATCATTCTCGATTGTTGTTATTTGTTTATCAGTATTTGATATATTTAATGGACGGGTTTGACGATATTGTTGATTTGATGTTGAATAAATAGTCATACGAGGTGTTGTTGTTGAACCATTTGGTGATTGTACTAATGGTCGTCCCATAAAATTTCGTTGTTGATTATTTGTTGAACTATTTGAATGAGTAAAACGTGTTTGTTGATTATTTATTATACGTGTTTGATAATCATCATGTTGACTTTGTAAATTTAATGTTGATAAATGATTTGTTACATATTGTACTGATGTTCCATTATTATTAATATTAGGTTTTCCTGTTGTTACTGCTGCTGATGTTGTTGGACCATAAGTATTATATGGTACACTATTATCAAATGTTGGATAAGTTTGAACATTACCTGGAGTTTGAGAAGGAGGAGGAATCATAAAAGATGGTGCAGGAATAGTACCTAAATAAGAAGAATTGTTTTATAAAATGATAGAAAAATATATATTTTTTTTTGTTATAACCTGGTTGAACAAATGTTGTTTGTGATGGTTGAGGTGATTGATAAGTTGTTGGGGCAAATGGATGTGAAACATTACCTGGTGTGCCTGTTGGAAAGATTCGAACAAAAGGTGGTGGTTGCGGAGCAAGATTTGACTGTGACGGGGGGACTTGTTGTTGGGGTTGCGGTTGTTGTTGAGTGATTGCATGATGATGACAAGGTTGATTTTGAGAATATGGATGATGATGATGAGTATGATTAGTGTCAACAACTGATGGTGGTGGTACTGTTGGTGGACCCGGTATGGATAAAGTATCTGGTCGATAAAGCTTTTAGAAAGCAAAAACAAAAAAGGGAAATGTTTATTTATTTTTTTATTATATAGCTAACATGATTTTGAATATTCACCTGAACATATTGTCCATCAGGTGTTAATGAATAAGGATTTGTTGGTGGTGGAGGTTGTGGTTGTTGTTGTAAAGGATGAGCAGGAAATAGATATTGTATTTGTCCAGTTGGTTGTTGATGAACTAATATAGGCAATGGAATACCGCCACCATGTTGAGATGGCACTTGATTTGAAGCAGCTGTTGTTGCTGTTGTTGGTGGTTGAGGATGTAATTGTTGTGTTTGTTGTTGTTGTGAATGAATAAAACTAGATGTTGCTGAAGGTATCATTGGTACATAATTATAAATATGTGCTCCGCTTGCTTGTTGTTTATAATCATAATCAACAGGTGGGTGTTGTGGTTGAGTATAAAATGAAGTAGCAGCTGGTTGACGTAATGATGTTGTACCAGGGTTTGATCCTAACATTGTACCATAGATTGGTGGTGGTTGAGTTATACTGAGATTTGCCGATGGTGGTTGTTGGGTTGAATAAATAGATGGAGCTAAACAAGATAAGATATTAGAAAATGAATTCAGTTATATGGTAAATAATAAAAGAACTTGATTTATTTGCAGTCTTCGACTTTAAGTGTTCAGAAGAAGATACTTAGTTTTAATAATTTAAATATCAGCAATGATTAAATATTGGTGAATATTTTTAGAATATGGCAGTAGAAAAATTTATTCTTATCTTTTATTATTGGTTTGACTGGCCAATGATAAGTTTTTTTTTTCAAAACCATATTTTTCAAACATCATCTTAAAAATATTTGTTGAGAACTCTATCACTACTTTTTTTTTTTTTAATATTTTGGCAAAATACAAGTTTTTTTTTTGTTATCTAAATATTTACTTCTAGTTGTTGAAGTATTAATCATATGACTAGATGGATCAATTGTTTTTCCAGTTGGATACTGTTGTATATGGGTATTAGTTGTTTGTTGTGAATGTTGATATGTATAAGAACGATGTTGTTGTGAACTGTTCTGATGTTGTTGTTGTTGTCTTCGATAAGATGGTCGAATAAAATTTGAATGTTGTTTTTGATTTGTTTTTGTATTTTTATTTGTTATTGTTATATTTGATAAATCTGTTGCTTCATTAAATATTCTAGCACGTGTTTCAGCATAATGATTTACACGTTCTAAATATGGTTTTGTTAATGGTTGATGTTTTGTTGTTGAAGATATCTGTTGATTTGTATATTCATCATTATGACCATTTCGTTGAGAATGTTCATGATTAAGATTTTTATCATGTCGACGTAAAATACGACGTGTTGGAATTTCAGTTGGATTTGTTAATGATATTGAATTTTCTGTTGTTGAAGCACCACTTATTATATCGGTTGATTCATCTTCTGGAATGCATTTTTGAAATGAAAAATTAGGGCTAAAATAAAAAAAAAGAAAAGAATATTTCAATTATTTTTGTTTTTTTTTTAAATTACATTCGAGTATTAGGTGTTTTAGTAACAACAACAGCTTGACCATTTTTATCAACATTATGATCAAGACCAAAAAATGCTGCAACACGATGAACAATCATTCGTTCATCTATTAAGAAAAGAAAACAAAAATTGAGAAAATAAATAATTTTTGTATGTTTTATTTACATGAATTCATCGCTTGAAATTGATGTGATTTTTGTTCATCATCTTGAATAAATTGTTGAAAAAGATTTTCAAGTGTTAAAAGTAATGCTCGATCTTTGGGATTATTACGTAATGTTGTTGTAATAAATGATTCTGTATCAACACCTGAAAAATCTTTATATGGAACAGTTGTATTAGCATTAGTATTATTAGATGTATTTGTATTATTAACAGTTGATCCATTATTTATTGACATATCAATTTCATCATTTGATGATGATGATGATGATGATGATGAAGCAACAGTGGTTGTCTCCGTTGTAACCGTATCATTATTATTATTATTATTAATATGTCCATCATCATCACCACCTGATGAATGATGACGATCATCGCTGTCACCAGTCTAAAAAAAAATTTAGGTATATCATTATCAAGGTAAAATCAATCGATCGAATTTTAATAAAGAAACAGGATATGATGTTTCGAAAGTATATTCAAGGTTAATAATATATCAATAGTATGAACAAGGAAGTAGCCGAACATATTCAAATGTTTCTCTCGAGCTTGAAATGTCTAGAAGGATGAAGGACACAAAAAAAAGAAAATAAAAAAATCAATGAACCGAAATAATGTTTCTGCTAGGAGATATCCTTGAAGTATTGCTGGCTATATACTTGTTACATAGATATTGATTCTATATCGTATAATAACATTTATCAAGTAAATTCAAATTAACATTCTAAGGTTTTGAATTTAAAAAAAAAAGAAATATGATCATGTATTTAACTGTACATCATTCGTTCGGATTACTTCCCCTAACGCCCTATGATTAAACAATATTTTCTTATGACATTTAGTTTTCTTACTATCGGCTTCTCAAAATCAAAGTATCCAATATTCAATGAACAAATTATGCTTAATCATTATCAAAAACTTACACTTTCAGATTTCTCATCAGTTCCATCCTCAATAACATCACAATGTTCAGACGGTAAAATAATACCTACAAAAGACAAAAAAAAGAATAGATCAAATAAATAATACAAATTTAATTTTTTTTTCTTCTTCTAACCATCATCAATATTAGCCGTTGTATTATTATTTTTATCAGGTTTTGCCAATTGTACTGCCATTGATGATGGTACACAACATGAATCAACAATTTTAGCCATTCCAAAGAAAAAAAAAAGGAAATTCTTGTTTTGTTTTTTTTAATTTAACTATTATTATTTCAAAGTATAATTTATGCAAGCACCATTAACACGGTGTATGGAAGAGATACAAAGAGCTGATCACATGAAATAAAATTGTAACTAAACAGAACAAACATATGTACAAAAATTTTCTTTTTTTGTTTTGTTTTTTTCATATCTACCTGTGCGTTTCGATATACTTGACTTGAAAAAAAAAATACTTAATAAAATGTACAAAACAACAGCTAATAGAATAAAGTGTCGTATAGAAAAAAAAATGAAAACTAAGAGAAATATCTTGTTGATGAACTGATTTTGTGTTTAAGAATAAAGTAAAGAAGAAGCAAACAAACAAATTGGAGAAAGAAAGATAAAAAAAAAACAATATGTCAACAATTGAAAATAAATAATTTAATTTATTAATTTAATTGATAATAATAAAAAATTTGATTTTCTTTTAATGTTTTTAATAAAAATTATCTAAAAATTTAATTTAATTTTTCTGATATTTTAATTACACACGTCGCTAGATATTTATCTTGAAAATAAAATAAAATAAAAACAACTATATTCTTCATTTTTAATTAATAAAATATTTCATTCTTAGAAAAAAAAATTATTTTTAAATATATATATTATAATTATTATTATTATAGAGGTCAGTAGCAAATATGTATGGTTGTTTCCTATTAAACCAATAAAAACTGTGCTATTTATTACATCAGAAATCAGTTATATATATATTACGAACTTGACAAGAACTACACAAATCTATTGAAAAAACAAAAACATGGCTGACGTAGGTGATGCACCTGATGATGTAAGTTTTTTTTTTGTTTCGAATAATTCTTAAACGAAAAGATAATTTTATATTTAGTCAATATTCGATTTGAGTAAAAAGAAAAAGAAAAAGAAACCAAGAGATGATCCATCTGGTGGTGAAAAAGAAGGTGATGAAAATGTTTCAAATGAACAACCACCAACAACAGCAACAACAACAACAGTAGCGAAAGAAAAAAAAAGTAAAAATGTAGCTTTCGCAACAGAATCATCTACAGTAAAAAATAAAAAACAAGGAAATCTTTTTCCTTAATAAATTTTATTTAGAATCAAGATAATGTAACTGCTGAACAAGCAACTGGGGGTGCTGCTGGTGAAGATGATGATGATGGTGATGTTCTTGCACTCCGTAAAAAGAAAAAAAAGAAATCAACAACTCGTGATGCAACCGGAACTACTGGTGAAGGTGATATTCAAGTAATTTTAGTTATAATTTTTATAATGAATATAAAACAAGTTCTTTTTTTTTTTCTAGAAAGAAACTGCAGCTGGTACAGTAGGAGATGAAGCAACTAGTGATGCAACATCACTACAAGGCGAATATACATATGAAGATGTAAGTTAAATTAAAGGTGAAATTTTGTCAAGAGATATTTAATCATAACAACTATTTCGATGAGATTATCAATGAAGGTAAATGGTACTAGTTAATTGAATTTCTAAATTTTCTCTATCGAAGCCAATGATCTAGATATTAACAAAAATACTTGTTGAGTAATATCGAGCACTGTTTCATATGAATGTTTCAAAACATCAGGAAATATTCTAATAAATTCTTAATTACTTCATTATGTATTGAAACATTATCTAACTTCGTTATCTAAACATTGATTTACTATATTGAATTTCAGATTCCATCGATTGATAATAATTCTCAGGAATATATCGTTCAGATATCTTATTAGTCTCCTTTTCAAAATATTCCGAAAAAGTTAAATTAAGTCTTTCTCATATTGTGAATAGAACAATATTATTAATTACATTAGTCAAGTTACAGAAGTGATCAAATTTGAAATTTCTATTTATACAATAATTAATTTATATATTTAACATTGTTCTTTTATATTCTAGTTACTATCTCGAGTATTTACTATTATTCGTGAAAAAAATCCGAATGTAATCGATGGTGAAAAAATCAAGTTAACATTAAAACCACCACAAGTAGCACGTATTGGTACTAAACGTACATCATTTTCTAATTTTGGTGAAATATGTAAATCGTAAGTTAGATTTTAAATAAAAACAAAAAAAAAAAAAAAAAGAAAACTTTAATTTTTAGCCTTAAACGACAAGAAAAACATTTACATCAATATTTACTTGCTGAATTGGGTACAAAGTAAGTTGAATGAATATCTCTTTTGTTTCATTTAATTTCTATTTATCTTTTTAGTGGTTCAATTGATGCTAATAATGCATTAATTATCAAAGGACGTTTTCAACAAAAACAAATTGAAAATGTACTTCGATCATATATCAGTAAGACAAATTCATTGAAATTAAAACCAATGTCTTCGTTTGTTTTTTTTTCATTGTATTTTCTAGAGGAATATGTTATTTGTAAAACATGTCGTTCACCTGATACATCATTACAAAAAGAAGAACGTTTATCAGTACTTCTATGTAATAATTGTCGATCGCGTTATTTTGTTTCTGGTATCAAAACTGGTTTTCAAGCACAAGTTGGAAAACGTGCAGCAACACGCGCGAAAGCAACATAGAAAAAAAGAAAATGTTGTCTTTTTTTTTTTTCTTATTCTCGATTATTTTTTCTTCTTTTTTCTGTTGTCTTGAATTTGATGAGTACACTTTTTATTTAAATAAAAGCACAACATGAAGAAAAAAAACAAATAGATATCAGTCAATATTCATATTCTGATTGCAGATGAATAAGTATTTGAAATATTGTTCAGATTTGATTTCTTTCAATGGAAAAAATCGAACAATTTTATGTAGTTTTCAACGTTTTCAACATATATCGTAGGTTTATTTTTGGCAAGAAAACTAGTTTATATATAGAATAATTTTAGATCGACTAGTGCAGTTACATTAGCTGAAGATGTATATAATCCACCGAAGGGAATGGCTGATCCAGAACGATGTCTTATTATCGCGTATGCATATTTATTTTGTGTGAATGCAAATTTTTTTAAAATCAGACTGTAAAATATTCATAACAAGAAAAGTTTAATATTATGTTCTTGTTTTTTGAAAGATAATTTATAATTAATTTAAATTCAGATTAATTATGTATCTTACAGCTCTCAACATATTAATTCATGAAAATCGAGTTCAAGAATTAGTAGTCAAATAAATTTTCATTTTTACTTGTATAGACGAAAATGAAGCATTCAGTATCTACAAACTGTAGAAAAATAGTTCATGATAGTATTAGTTCTAATAAACAAGAATTGGATAGTAAATAGTTATTCGGTTAGTTGATACGTAGGATTTAGCACAGATGAAGTTTTATCTTTTGGTTAGAAAAAGTTTATTGTTCGTATTTTTAGTAAGAATAAAGATAAACCTTTTGATTCAAATATTTTAATTTCATTGCCGTCAATACTCTTCACTTGTAAAGTATTAGCAAATTTCAAACTGAATTACATGTATTTCGTAATATTCTCTAATTTGAAAGGAGAAATTATTTACAGTTCTACGATTTTATTTTTTGAATTAAAATAAATAATGTGTATCCTATTTTAGACATGGTCTTTTTGGTAATCGTACAAATTGGAGATCATTAGCAAAAGCATTTAGTGAACGAGCAAAAATTAAAGTAATAATACTAATTCAATATTCTCATTTTTTTTTTTTTAAATATTTTTTTACTCTTCCAATATTCAGGTAGTAACAGTTGATATGCGTAATCATAGTAATTCTCCATATACGACATCGATGACTTATTTCGATATGGCTTCTGATTTAATTCGAACTATCGAAAAATATAATATGCCAAAAACAATTTTAATGGGTCATAGTATGGGTGGTAAAGCAGCTATGCTTGTTGCTTTAGAAAAAGTAAATATTTAAGAAATAATGTAGCTTTGTTTGTTTTTCCTTGTTAGATGTAGCCGGCACTTATACGAAAATTGATCGTAGTTGATATTGCACCAACAATAAGTCCATCTGCAGGAGAAATGCCGTTATATATTCGAATTTTACTTAATAATCTACATCGAATACAAAATGAAAAAGATATTGCTGTAGCAAGACGTACTATGAACACAATACTACAAACATCAAGTGAATCATTACGACAGGTTAGGTTCAAATTTCATTAGAAATTTTAAAGAAAAATGAAAAATTTGATGTGTTTTATAGAATAAAAATGTTCGTGATTTTCTTTTAACGCTCCTTGCTCATGATGAATCAAGTGGACAGTTTGTGTGGCGAGCAAATTTAGAAGCTCTTGACGAAAATATAAATGATATTATGTCTTTTCCAGCTGAATATGATAATACAACAACTAATGTTGAAACATTATTTATTGCTGGAGAAAAATCAAATTACATTGAGTATCGAAATATCTATTTTTGTTGAGGTCTGATTTTCTTAAAGTTTTATATTTTAGTGATGAGTCAATTCCCACAATACGACGCTTATTTCCTTCACATCGTCTTATTCGAATTCCGAATGCTGGTCATTGGGTACATTCAGAACGACCTCATGATTTTTTAAATTGTGTTTTGCCTGAATTAGAAATCAAATAAAAATATTATATATTTATTAAAAAAGAAAAAGAACATTTCATATCAATATTTTTTTTTTACTAAAACCGCTGTGATTTAAAATTAGAAATCTATGTATTTCTCTTTTTTTCGTAATAAGCATGTGGATTGCATCGTATTAACGGGTGAAGAAATATTGCACAATGTGCAACTTTACGCAACCAAAATATTGTATTGATATTGGAAAAAAATCGGCAAGTTGCAATCGATGATTATACACTTGATTCGATGTAATGAGATCCTTGAAGGCCGCAATCACCGATTTAACCGGTACTCATCTTTTTTCTTTTCTACTTAGCAGTTAAAGTGCAAATCAGTGTTTCAAATCAATTTATTTTTATTGGCATTCTTGAAAATTTAATTTTTGTTCAGATCATTTCGCTGTATTACTATTCTACTTTCTTACTTAATCTAGCAATTAAATATTTTGCAGTTGCTTTTAATAATATTAACACTTGGAATAGAACGCAAATAATCGAATTTTTATAATTTAATATCTTTCTTCTGCTGGTACCGTATACGTTTAAAATTTTCTTTGCTATTTTCAATATTAAAAGCACTTGGATTCTTTCATATTTTCGATAACATATGTCAACGTTGGAAATACATTGTACGAAATAGCTGCTCATAAGCAGTAAACACGAGCTTGTTTATTTGACCATTGAAAGATAATATCAAAATTTCGCAGATGAAAATCATTTGCTTAAAAAGAGTTCTTGACATGTTTGTCGCACAAACGGCATATCAAAAGCTTATTATTGAATTAAAAGTAACAAATGAATTTCTCATTTCGAACATCGATTTTATCGAAGACATACTCTCAAGATTTCTTCGAATCTTTTTCTGGGTGCAATTGTATTAAGGGTGGCAACAATCTTTATCAAACTATTAGTATACATTGAGTGCAACATGTGGGAACGAAGATAGGCTGTTTGGATCATTTTCAAATGGTGAGAGAATGAAAGTTTATGTATCTTAACTTTTGTCCTCAGGATCATTTAAATCTTGTGGTCTTTAATGATCTGAAAAGAAAACAGTCCAAACAATGTTGGAGTACTGAAGAAAATCGAGATGCCCTTCTTCAAAAAGTGAGGTGATATAGAAAAAAATCACTAAAAACTCAATATCTCGCCAGAAGCCAGCCGGAAACCCAAACTTGTTTTTTATCATAGACACAGCTGACTAAGAACTATAACATGCACAAAGTCTCAACTCAAAAGCGCTCCTGCATCTGGGAATGTTCCCTTGTCAGCCTCTTTCGAATGGTGAAAACCGTGGATCGGTAGCTATTGCCATTCTCGAGATATTTGCTTTACACCAACCTACATTTAATTCTGGCGCCGACAATAGAAAGAGGTACAAGAGTATGATTTTCTCCTTTGGGTCGTCGTTGTATACACAGAAATTGTTTTGATCTATATGGTATGCTATTCTCATTTTGAAATTTTCACAAGACACTGGTCTAGATATGGAAAATTTTGTCTTACCTTTACATTGAAGTTTTTAAGTGCGAAGGTTCTGGCAATGAATGAGTGCAGTAAAATACGTATGAAGTGCAAACTTCTGAAGCCTTAGTTTTCCCTATTACGCTGATTCGTATACCCAAAATGTTTCATTAATACCTTGACAACAAAAGCTGAGATCATTCAATCGAAAAAAATAATTATCGATAATCTCACAAAAGAAGCCTCAAAGATACTTTTGTTTAACACAATTTTTTTGGCAAATCTATCTCATACTTTTCAACTAAATCAGATAAAAAAAACCTATCTCATCCAATTTCATCATAAGAAAAAAGACGTATGTGTGATTCCCAATGTCATACATGCTCACATGAATAAACAAACAAATATATCTACAATGTTCACTGTTTAAGCATTTTATTACAATAAAAAAAAAAAACTAGATACAACAAACAAACATCTGACATAGATTCATTTTCATATTTTCATCATCTTCACAAATAAAATTTTTCAAATAGTCATATTAAATTTATGTTGCAATTCAAGTATAACAACACGTATTGATGTTAAATATGATAAAAAAGTACCAGCCAATAAAAGTATTAAAATACAAAAGAATGAAATACTTAAACAAAATAAAAGAATATTTAAATTTGTAAATAAATATTTTGATGTTTGAGTTTTTTTTAAAAGAAATTCTTCTCGATCAATTAATTGTTCATATACATGTGGACAATAAATTTGTGCTATATGAGCAAATGGTGAAAGATTTTCGATAGGTAAATTCATTGTCATATGATGAAAATAATGTATAGAATAAATACTTGAATTTTTTATTAAATAATCGATATCATCGAAAGATTTTGAGCGACGAAAAAACTGTGGAATTTTCTAATAGGAAAAAAAAAAGCAATCGAAATTAGATTTTTTTCTAAAGAAAAATTTTTACTTGATAAGCTATTGGATAGAAAACAAATGATGGTTGAATATCAATTTGTTGACATTTATCTTTTGAATGTATATGTAATTTTTTATCATCACAAATACGTTTTAAAGCATCAGATAATGCTGATGGTCCAACACAATTCCAACAAAAAGCATTAAATTTTGTATTAGCTAATGTTAATTGAATATCCATTTGTATATCTAATGCTATATGTTGTTTTTCAAATACTAACACAGCTACATTAACATTGTCATCCGATTCTAGTGCAACAGTATTTGAAAATAAAGAAAATGTCTTTAATGGAATTACATCAATATCAAAATAAATTCCACCATATTTATATAAAAGTGCTGTACGAATAAAATCACTCATATGTGATATGGCAAAATAACGAATAAATTGTGTACGTTTGGTTTCATTTAATCGAGATAATGTTGTACCTGAATAAATATCATATTCATTGAAATGAACAAAACGTATATTTGCATATGTATGTAAACGATTGAATGAACCCTTTTTTAAATGAATATATTGACTACGCATAAAAACAAATATAAGACCATTCATATGTAAACGTGCAGCTGATTCAATTGAACAAGCATGTCGAGATAGAATATCTTCATTTTCAGATGTTTGAATGAAAAAAATTTTTAATTGAGTATTTAATAATTCAAATTCATATTGAAAAAAATTGTCGAGTAATATATGACTTTCATCTGTACGATTTATATTGTTATTATTATCATCATGAAAATTTTTATATGAATTATCATCAAAATCAACTGTAAAAATATTAAATATACCATATAAACTAGCTTTAGATAATTGAGTTACTGATATATAGATGATTATAAATGAAACTATCATAGAATAATCAATTATACTATTTATAGGAATATATAAATACTTACTAGCAAAAATAATCGACCATCTGAAAACATTGACAGTTCTAGATGAAAGAACGGAAGAAGAAAAAAAAGAAAAAGCTTATTTTGTAATATTAATCATAAACATAATTCATAATAAAATAATTCTCGTTTCTGTTGTTAGGAAAACATATGTTAACATCATCTTTGTCTGTAGTACTGACGTTTTCGACATATTCGAATTATATTTAATTGATTTCAATAAATAATATAGAAAACAAATATATATAATAGTATCAGTTTATATTTTTTCCTCTACAAACATTTATTCATAAAGTTCATTTGTATGGATAGGGGAAAGCGAGAGAAAAAACAAGAGACATGAGTGAAATTGAATGAATAATCAAATAAAATTGTGTAATATGTATGCAAACATACATCTTCGATCTCTTTACTATCCAATATAGAACAATGAAACAATAAAATATGTGTAGATGTTATTTACTTGCTTAGATAAAGACATTTTTAAACTTTAATAAGTTGAATTCATAAAAAGATCACAAATACAATATACAAAACAAGAAAAACTCGTTTGGCTTCTTATCATCATAATACATACTTGAATTTAAGTATAATCATAATTGATTATTATTTAATTGTTTTTGCCATATATATTTCTATTAATAAACTGTTTAAATGATTCAGTTTAGAATTTCTAAAAGAAAAACTTCATGTGAATTTATAAGATAAATATTTTTATGATTTCAATTAACAGTAGCTGCAGTTGTCAGTTACCAGAAACAAATAAAAAAAAAAAGAAGATGAAAGGCAAGTGTATTTCCATCGGACTGTTTTTCGATACAAAGTAACAGAAATATTGTGAATATAGGCAGATAAAAGTATTTGTTTATTTAATGACTAATACATTCAGACTCATATTTTCTCTAATATTCGATTTGATACACTTCATTTGATTACTCATTTTTAACATTGAAATGTCGGTCGTCATAGAAAAATCTAAGTTCTTGTCAAGATTAACACTCGATGTATCTTACCTCTTGTTAAGATTCTGAAGTCAATAGAAGAAGATGTGCGAGAAAAAGGCTAGATAGAGAACACAAAAATTCTTCATTTTTTCCTCTATTTCTGTGTCTTTGCATTTTTTTTTTCTTCATCTTCTTCTCTTATTCTTCATCCACTGTTTCTACCCCTAATACAGCTAACGATTATTCTTCTTTAGTATTACTTTGTCTGTACCCCTGCTCACATCTATAAAATAAGCAGAAATAAACTTCAGAGAACAGCGGTGCTACACAGAATGAAACAAAAACGGGGTAGCAGTATTATTTCTAGAGAAGAAAAAAAGAAAGAAAAAAACTGGCAAAAATATCGAATAAGAAATCAAACATGAAATAAATTATTTAATTCGATCATATTCAAATTAATAACGTTGATATTTTTATTTTTACAAAATTCAAGTAATCACAAAGTAAAAATAATATACTCTTATAAAAATCTCAATATGAAAAAAAAACTGAAATCTATTAAATCAATTTTTTATGTTTTATATACTTACATTTTCATACTTCATAAGCATCAAAACGATAATAATTTAGTTTATTTTTATTGTAGTTACTAACATTTTTTTCTATTTCATTTCTCATCTATTGCTGTTAAATTAAAACTATCACGTTCTATATTTATAACTGTAACAAAAAGAAAAAATTTGTCCTTTAGCTCACCTCCTAGGTATTTTGTCTATTCATCTAAAACAAATTCATGTTATCTTTATATATGATCGGTAATAATAAAAAGAAATGTACATGGTCTAAAAATAAGGAGAAGTTTTAGATAAAAGATTTTTATTATTACATCATTGATATAATATAAATATAGAAATCTTTTCCAAAATATTAATCTTAAACAGAAACCAACGAAAAAAAAAACCTGAAATAAAAGATCAGTTTACATAGGAAGATGTCAGATAGAAGAAGAGATTTTTTTCAATACTATTCAGTATAAATTCGACATTTGGCTTTTTTTTTCGCCAACATTTGTCAATCGTAGTGGTATATGATGTCTAGGAATATGGTTATAATATGATCCATGGTCATTTTATCAATGTCGGCAACAAGATTTTTGTTTGCTGCTGCTGTTATATTTAATTCTTTGATTGAATTAGAAAATCATGCTCATCCATCTTTATCGTTAAGATGTAAAGTACTTTAATTTAGCAAAAAATTCGACATTCAATCAAAGTTTCTTCTTTAAAGAAGAGAAGGTAAATTGACGAATGAAGATATTTTGTTTTTTTTTTCTACATTGAAACCTTGAATTCTTTAGTATGACCCAATTATCTTTTGATTTTCATTATTCCCTCTATTCTTTCATATTTTGACAAAAAAAAGTGAATAATTCAAAAATTAAAATATTTGAACAAAGCTTCCGCATCCAGACTAAACCAGAATATTGGTCTTAGATGAGTGACATAATATGTTTTCATTGATTAAGAAAGGTTTCGATATTTGAAAGAGCGAAAATTAAAGTTTTTGATTTAAGCAACAAATTATCTTATTAATCTAATAGCAAACTATGATTTATTCCTTATTAATAGTACAAGGTTCATCAAACTCTGTTCCATATTGTCAAGAAAATATAACAAAAAAAAAAAGAGAATAATATATAATACTATCCAATACAAGGTTACATCTGTTTCTCTATTTTCATAGATTTTGTGTAATCAATCAAAAAAAAAACAGTCAATACTGTCTGGTAATCTGACTATAATCTATGGAACAAAATGAATCTGTAGACTAGATCGATAAAATAAAATGCTTATGTTTTCTTTTGCTTTCATTTTCTATTTATGGACATTTTCTTGTATACCATCGTATACAACAACATTTAATTAATCAGATACTGTTGAAGTACACAAGGCCAGACATGAAAAACGTTCTTACTATAGTAGACAGTCGGTTACGGATCATTTGTAACATATCTATGTATGGAAATCGTGTGGTTAAATACTTGAATGTTTTTTTCTCTTCTGATTACATATATTTTTTATTCATCTAATTAATCATAATCGACAGCAGACCGTATACGAATAACACCAAGCATTAGTTTATACATATATATATACTTATTTATTCATTCATCGAGGCTCCTTCGTTATATCAATACATATAGAACAGATATGAATCCATACAAACGAAATCATTTTCTTAATGTTGCAAGAAATATGAATAATTATATTGCTGCATCAAGTCAACGGTATTTCCGAAGACCATATTATTCACCTATACGTGATAGAGCAAATTTTTTATCGATATATAATGAACCATTGACAACCAATTTTGGTCTTAGTGGTCTGATTTCATATGGTTTAGGTGGAATTGGTATGTTACCAAATATGATTAATATGGGTTATTATTTTGGTTATTTTTTTAATACTCGTGCATAATTTATTTATTCATTATTTTTTTTTTCTTTATTATGATAAAGTTTAAGTCAGTTAACATTGTTTTGCGCGTTTTTTTTTTGTTTTATTCCAAATCAAATATCCAAACAAAGATTACCTATATGAACAATATTTATGAATACAAATATTAATACACAATGAGAAGAAGAACACATAAGGAGAAAAGTTTTTTTGGTTGCGTTTTTTTTCTTGGCCAACGATTCCTATCGACTAGAATGCAAAGCGTGTACGAATATCTTCAAGTTTTTTAGCAACTTCGCTTGTTGTTCGATCAAGACCTTCAGCAATCATTTTTTGTTTATTTATATCAAGGTGATTATATTGTTCACAAAGATCGCCATCAAGGACATTCTAAAACAATAGAAGAAAATATTTTATTTACATTTTATCTTCTTCTCTTTATTTATTTTTGCATTTTTTGATTAAGCTTTTTTTCTTTTTCTTTTTTTGAATAGGTAAATAAATATTAGGATAACATGAATTATCTGTTTTTTCTTTTCATTAATCATGATCAAGAAAGGAAAACAAGTATTAAAATGATCTACAATTGCAGTAACTTGTTTAGCAAAAAGGTAGAAGTGTTCTCAAGGCAAACTCATAGTTGTTATTCTTCAATTTTCCTATATTATTTTTGTAGTACCACTTCAATAAATTTACTATACTACTAAACAATAATATACAATCATTATTTTCTTTATTTACCTTAACTGGATAATAATATGATCGAAAAGCAAGATGATCTCGACCGACTAACGTTTGATATTCAGCTCGCATATGCATTTCAAGATGTTGAAAAAAATCATAATCCTATAAGAAAAATAATATGATTCTCGAAATTATCTTACTAAGAAAAAAAAAACATGTTTAATGTGTGATCAGACGTAAATTAAAAAAAAACTTTCGTCATTCATTATCCGAATTGTAAACGACTAATTTTTAGTCATCATTTCACACATTTTCAAACTTTTCTTTTATACCTCATTTGATGCAAATGGTATAAGTACACCTATTGAACCTGATAATGTTGTATAAACAAGAGATTCTGATCCACCTGGAATTAATGTTGCTCGTTGAACTGATGTAACTATTTCTCCAACATAGAAATGAGCAAGTAAATCACACTAAAATTAAAATTTATTTTAGAAAATTGATTTAAAAAGAAATAAATACTTTATTTGATGCTCCATTTAATAAACCTCGATCCCATAAACCTTTACTTCCTGTTGGATCAATTTCAACATCATCATTAGCATCAAGAGGAACACGTAACTGAAAAATAAAAAATATAACAAAAAAAATAAAAAAACAAATATTTCAAAACAAAATCATTACTTACAATAGCAATATTACCAAATTTATCAGTTACACATGCAGTACTATAATCTAATAAACAACAAGCAACAGTAAAACGTGGACATGTATCATCAGCAAATACAGCTAATTGATTTTCCATTGTTTTATAACGAAGAATATGTAGACTTTCTTGTACATCAGTTACAAATATACGATTACCCACTGAATGTATTGTAACTATTTGATTAGGAATGCTCTAAACAATTTAAACATATATATATATATTGATTATTATCAACTTTCAATTATATTTTATAATACTATAAAATGAAACATAAATATCAAATTTTAGATTTTCATCAAAATATACTTCAAAAAAGTTGTTAAGCCCAATCATTACAAGATTAAAATGTAAAACACAATGTAACTGCTATGAGAAAGTAATTAAATGTTGAAAATTATAAATACTTAGTGAAAAACTTTTTCCAAGTTTTGATCTATAGAATGTAACAGTAGGAGTGAAGGCAAAAAACTGTGATTAAAAAAGATTTGGATTGTCAATATTTAGTCACCAAAGCAACTGCTATTGTTAATAACAGGAAGATTGTTTTATTTTATATATTTTAGATCATATTGCTTCACGATCCTTTTACTCAATCCTTCAGAAATGCCATAAGGAAGTAGTTCATGTATTATAATAAGACATTATTCATATATAATCTGTGCGAGAAGTTCAAACTTTTAATTCTATATGTTAACATTCTTTGTAGATTGTATTTTACAATATAAGATTATTACTTCTCTCCATCCATGTAAAAAAAATCATTTTTAATCAATGTCATGTGATCATAAACGATTTCTCTATGATTATGAAATCAACTATTCGCATAAGTTTTTCTTTTTAACGTGGGCAGCAGATGATAAATTGAATACAAAAACCGATATAAATTATTTAAAGTTCACTTTTTTAACTCAAAGATTGACTTGAAATCTTATGTTGTATTATATCTATCAAGTAAAATCTATTGTAAATGATTTATACACGTCAATATGTACGAAAACATCTAACGAGCTAAAATCATTTCTATTAATTTTCTTCTGTATGATTTCATTATTTTCATTTCAATAAAGAAAATATTGAATTTTTATCGAACAGAAGATATGATTAAAAATGAAATTCATTTTACATACTTTATTTTCACATTTTTTAAGTAATTTCTTTTTGCCAATTTCATAAATACGTAAACAAGATCCAACACCAACTAAAGCTCGTCCAAGAAATGGATATATTGCCGCTATTAAAATAAAAATGAAAAATTTATTGTTTTATTATAAATAAATCTTTGTTTTCCTTACTTGGAATTTCATCTACTACAGTTCTATGAATAAAATGAAGTCGTTCGCCATTCTCTAGTACAAGAAAACAATAAATCATTCCACCAAGATGTGAACGTGGTGAAAGAACAAGATCACGTGCAACACCAACTAATAAAAATGTATCTGCTGGTCGAGTATCAAAACGCATTAAACTTAAACTAAAAAATAGAAACAAAAGAATATAAAAATTTTTTATTCTATTTTGCTTTTTTTTTTTACCAAAGAGCTGATTCATTTTGTTCAAATTCATAAACAAATTTTGTATCACCACTAATTGGATCCATAACACGTAATTGTGCTGCCCACATACCATTAGCTGCTTTTGGTGCACCAAATGTATCTTCAGGAAGTTTTTCTCCTAACATTGTATTAGCGACTTCACGTGCTGCTTCTTTATCTTCATCATCAGCTGCATCAATTATATCCTTAAAAAAACAAAAATAAATTTTTTTTGTCTTTCAATAATAAACATCTCATTGTAAAAAAACAAACTTTTCCTATTTGTTCACGATTTTGTTGTTTACTTATTTCTGTATATGATGAATGATCAGATTCAATTAAATAAAGCCAATTCATTTCTGGATGAATTATAAAACGACGTGGTGTTAATTTAAGTTTACGAATTTCTTGATTAAATATTGCACCAAGTTTTTCTAATGTTAAAATTCTAGAGAAAAAAAAATATAATTCTTAAGTAAAAAAAAAAAAAAAAAGAAATTTTCTTATCTCACTTACCGAAGTGTATTACCAGCTATAGCAACAATACCTTCTGGACATTGTTCAGATGCAAAACCCGATGCATGTTCAAGAGATTCATAAGATAATGGTGTTAAATGAAAACGACCTTGATATGTATAACTAAGCCACGTACGACTTGACATAGCTAATACCTATTAGAAAATAGAGTTTAACGAGTTTTTTATTTTTCTATGATAATAAATTTCCAAAGAAAAGAAATTTTAGAATTCTATCAAGAAATTATAAACTTACAGCTTCATTGCCTTGCATTAAAATTCGAAATAATTTCACTTCTTTTGAACCAATATAACGCGTCCTAGTATCTGACATATCACCTGTGACAGAATCGAGAACACTTCTTAGAAGTACACCATTCTTAGAAATAAAAACAAAACAATTTCTCATTGATTTAATTTACAAAAAAAAAAGGCATAATCTTTTTTTTTCTTCTACCTGTAAACCAATATTTAAAAATGAAGTACCAGTTGGTCCAATTTGTTGTTCACGACCACTAGTTGTATCGACAACAACACCACCTTCAGTTGTTTTCATTTCAACAATACATAAAGATTCAGCTGGAGCTGGTAATGCTTGCATACTCAATCGATTTAGACAATCCTATCAATTACACACAAACAAAACAAAATATAGATTTTTCATTCGTTCTATTTTTCTTTCCTACTAACTTGAGGATCAAGTGATATAATTCGAACAGTACTATCTGAAAGTCCAACAGCAAGAAAACGTGTACGTTGTTCACCTTCAGGTACTGAACCTAAAGCCATACATATAATATCACCTGGCATTTCTTTTCTTTCGGTATATTCATTTAATTGACCAGTCTAAAATAAAAAAATAAATCAATGAATATACTTTAGGTTTTTTTTTTAATCATACAGCATCCATTTCAAAATAAACAAGTTCACCACCAGTTAAACCAATAACAACTTGTCGTTGATTAACAGCTGCTTTAGTAATTGTTCTTTTTCCTGGTGCACGCCATTCATTAACACGTTTATCAGCTCGAATATGTCGAATACCTTCACGATAAATCTAATTTAAAAAAGAAATATCTTATAAAAAATAAACTCAAATTAATCAATAATTAAAATACAAACCTGAAGTAATGAATCATCACCTAATTGACTACATGATAATGTTGGTGTTGTACCAAGAAAACCCGAATCAGTAACTTCTTCAACAGTTTCACCAATTGATAAAACTAATGTAGCATTAATAAATGAAACAACAATATATGCATCAAATGGATCTTAAAAAAAAAAACAAAATCAAAATTATTTTATCTAAAGATAAAAACATTTCTATTTACCATCAGCTCGTCGTTTTACAGTCCATACAGCATTTGGATTACCAGGTAATTCTGAAACAGCCATTTCAGTTACCTAGAAAAAAAAATTTTTTTTCTTTTTTTTTTTTTGTACAAAAATTTTTAATTTTATTTACTTCTAAACCATGACGAAGAATTCGAAGTGTTGATCGAGGTCCACGACCACATGTTACATAAAGTTGTGGTGTATCTTCATTTGCAAGATCAGCAATATGACATGAAGTTA